AAAAAAAATTATTGCAACATATGTTTTCAAAAGGCTTAACTCTCACCAACATTATCCATTCTTATGAAGTAAAACAGAATTCTTCAACTACCACATTTGGGGGAGAGGTGTATTTTTTTTGGTTAGGATTTTGTTTTTCTTTTGTTTTGCTAGATTGGGGACAGGGAGGGTGTTTATTTTGTTTTTTTGAGACAGAGTCTCATTATGTAGCCCAGGCAGGTTGATCACCTAACCCTCCTGCTTCAGCCTCCCCCAGCTGAGAAGGCTGAGGGAGCCACATGTCACTTAACCTGTGCAGACAGCTGCCTCCTTGGAGTACAGCAGTGGGAAGAGGAAGGAGGAGCAGAAGGGGTACGGAGCCCCAGCACGGGGTGCTGCGGCACAAGGCGGGGCGCAACATAGTGTGGGACACGCAACCTGACCCTGGATGTGTCACTCCAGTACAAAAAAAGAGAAAAACTATCTAAAAAGTCAATTGAAAAACAGCAAAGTCAAATTCAATTAAGATAGAAGTACTCAATTTGCAGTCAGCAGTTTCAGGTAACACAACAGCATAGTGGGGAAAAATATGGCCAGCTGATTAACAGGTGTAAAATAAAACAAAATCTGTTTTGGAGAATTGACTGCTGACTAGCTCCCCTCCCATCTGTCACATGTGCACGCACACAAAAAATAAGGTAAACCAAGTTAATGATAAAAATCAAACTTCATTTAAAATTTCTGATTTGTTCTACAGGTTACAAACCAAACCAAAGAGGAATAAATATGAGAAGCGGGTGAGGAAGGAGCGGGAAAGTGGCTGAGGGACAAAGCAAAGAGAACGCACTAAATACAAGTATGAAACCGGCAACAAATTCAATCAATTTTTCAAAATCTCATTTCTTTGTTTTTGGTTTTTTGGGTGTTTTGTTTTGTTGACAGGGTCTCCCTAGTCTCAGCCAGCCTAGAACTCACTGTGTAGACCAAGCTGGTCTCAATCTCACAGAGATCCGCCAGCCTCTGCCTCCTGTGTGCTGGGATTGAAACCGTGTGGCACCTTGCTCAGTGTAAAGTCTGATTTCTTTGCATATCTGGCTTTGAATGTAGCTTTCACAATTACTATCAATACAGTTATAATATTTTTAATTTTAAGAACACACAGACTATATGAAATATAATTTTACAAAATGTGCATATATTTATCTCTAACTTATAACCCAAAACTTATTTCCTTGTGTGTGTTTGTTTTGCAAATTTAAA